TAGTCATTAATGTATTAATGTAAATTGTGGCCGTTTTGGCTGTTTTTTAAAAATGAATTATTCTACCTACCTACCTACCTACTCTGGAAGCTTTTTTTTTTTTTTAACTAAGAAACTGTATACATACTTGACATTAAATGCTAGGAAAAACTTATATTACTTTGCTAATACATTTCAGAGAGCTATCTGGCTGGCTATGGATGAAATAAAAAGTAGGACTATATGATGCCATTCTGCATAGGCCTTTCTTAAAGCGACACAAACTATAGTATTGGATTAGACTTTTTTCCTGAAGTGTCGTGATATACATATGCTCTTGAGACTCTTAAGTTGGGCATGAAGATGACAGTTGTTCATAAAAGTGTTGCTACATGACATCTCAGGTCAAAGAATGTAAGGAGAATGCACATATATTCTCCCTCCATGTGCTAATCCCACGAAAGATGTCAATGCGCTTACACAGAAAGCAAGCTTCTTCCCTCTGTGTCAACACCTGCACATTTGAAAGATTCTGCACATGTGTACTTGTCTGAGAGCCAAAACGTCATGCAATTGGATTTTTTTTTTTGGCTAATGAATATACAAATAAGATTTCTCTTGGTAGACATCCATGCATGGCCTTGACAATGGCACAACTTTGTGTTCTTCGAATCACATGGTCTCTTTTATTTGAACAAGACATAAAAGGATGACTGTCACATCAATACATGGCAAGCTGGTTTGTTCTGTAGACATACATAATTAAGAATTGTGCCTTTTATTCTGAGTACCTGTGCCTTTTTTTCTCAAATAATCAAACACTTGACTAATCCCATCTGCTTTTGACATCTGCGTGCCCTTCTTGTTTCACGCCTGAGTTTTCTTGGAAAAGTGGAATGGCTCAGAAAAAGGCTCATGAGCCATCCAAGGATTTTCAACAAAACCGTTGATGACTCACTCTGGCTATGTCAGAGGGGCTGTGTGACATTGTGTCTTCTAATGAATATGCAAACTCCTTGTGGTTTAATTAATGTTGATTCATTGGTTGTACTAAGAAACTTGCTTTTTTAAGTGTTACCATTTTCTAAAAATATCTAAAACTTAACAGTGTAAAATTTCTTTCTCCATCTTCCTTCTTCGTTTATTTCCCTCTTTAACTTTCTTACTGAAGAAACTGCTGTATCTATCCAGCCTATTAATTTTATATAGTTAATAATAGTGCACTCAAATATATAGATTATATATCTATATCAAATATATAGATATATATTTTGTTTCAGTTCAGTACCTGCATCCCGTCTTACACAGTGACTAATTATTAAGGTGACCAGATTTTCAGATTGGTAAAGAGGGACACCTTTGACCGGGNTAGCAACCAAAATGTTGGCTCAGAAACTCTGGCATTTGAAGCACACAAGTCTTAAAGCTGTCAAGTTACAAGACTCTTGCACCCCTAACCCTTTAAAAGAAACCCCCCTGGGGTGTTCAAACTTGACAGCTTTAAGACTTGTGGACTTCAACTCCCAGAATTCCTCCTCTCACACTTCATCTTGATGATGTGCGAGTGGGCGGGGGGAGGGAGCTGGAACCGGTTCTAAACGGCACTGTAGATTTGTGGAACCTCTTCTACAGAAGAGGTTAGAACTGGTAGAAACCCACCCCTGGGCCACATCTACTTTAACAATTTCTATCTACATCAGGGATAAGCACTAATATGACCACTGACATTTCTTCTGCACTAGCCAGGCTCTGTCCATTCTATTAAGTGCTTGAGGTATTTTATAGAAATCATTAATAAAATGGTGTAGAGTGGTGCAGTGGCCTAGAGGTGGAGGTCTCGCCTCATAATCAGGAGGTTGTGAATTCGATCCTAGGTAGAGGCAGATATTTCTCTGGGCATCATGAGAATATGTCTGCTGAACAAAACTCCTCATTGGTGACAGAAAAGGCATCCAGCCATTAAAACACTCTCCTAGTTCCATTCAGTTGCCCAGACTCCACCCCATAAGGGATTATGGGGGTCGTCAAAAGAAGAAGAAGATGATGATTAATAAAATGGTGTGAGGGTAGGGGTTGGTCTAGTGCTCTGTTTGGAAATACCTACTCTGAAAAGAAAAGAGGTGAGCTGGGATGTTGGATGGGATGGTACAAGGAAGCATATCCTTGTCTTTTAGTAATGGGATATTTTTCATTTATGTTACTAACTTATCAACTGAAAAATCTCTGACAAATGGCAATCATTTCGTGAATAAATGAATGAATATACTTCAAATTTCACATTGGTCCTCTATCATATAATGTTTGGCTTCTATGATGCATATAATGTTTCTACTAAATCATAATGCTGGCTATTCAGCTCCTTTGGTAAGCTCATGTCTTCTGATTAACTTTCTTAGTGCTGCTCTTTTTCCTCCCTAGATACACCTTCACAGAGGGTGCAGTTTATTCTTGGAACAGAAGATGATGATGAGGAGCACATCCCACATGATTTATTCACCGAGCTTGATGAACTTTGTTTGCGAGAAGGAGATGATACCGAGTGGAGAGAGACTGCCAGGTAAATGAGATGTTTTTTCTTCCACATAGCCCATTGCTTAAGACCCAGTGAATATCAGCAGAAAAAAAACATATATCCATTTAGATTTAGTAATAGCAATAGCACTTGCCTGATATTTTTTAAAGGTATTGGCCATGTAATGTTCTCTTTTCTGTTCTTCAGTTGGTTTTCCTTGTAGGTCATTTGGTATTTCTGGTATTCGGTAAATCTGCGTGGTGTAATATTGTAAATATACTAGACAGTTGAAGAAGCACAAAGGGCAATTGTTCTTCAAATATTCTTCCAATGCCCTTTTTTTCCTCCTTCAACTGTGTGATATATTTGCAATATTCTATATCCATTTATGCTTCCTGGTAACTAGAGTCTGTCAATGTTCCCGTGTGGATAAAGGGCATGATCTATTGTTGTTATTTTTCTAGTCTTCTTATTCAGAGTTTTTAGTTCCACTTGAGTCCAATCTACTATTCCAGCTGTGAATCTAATGAATCTAATGAATTACCCAGGTGTTAATTGACTTGATAATGTTTCCTCCACTGAATTTAGACTTTGACTTGCTTCAAGCAAAAACCATGCAGTTCATCTTCAGCTGGTGCTGACCAATTCTTGATCTTCCTTGCCCTTTCCTTCACGTTTTCTGCTATTTATTAATAGTTCTTTCATTTTCATTTTTATTCTTATTTATCTTTATTTATCCAGGTTGCATTCTTTGTGTATTTCTTTGGGTTGTCCCATAGCTGTGCTCAGAATTGCACTGTTTTTGAGATGGCAGCTGGTTTATTACAGTCTTTCTATTGATGGATTGATAGAAATGTTTCTGATTAGATTGAAATTTCAAATTGACCGAGTTTCAAATTGCAAAACCAATTAAAAAGGGGGAAGAAATGGGATAAGTGCCAAAGAAAATGAAAAAAATGTGGTTGGAGGGAGTTGATGAGGGTTCCAAACGTCAAAAAGAATTTTCAAGAAGAAAAAGTGGTATATGAAGTTGTGTGTATACTGTATGTGTACATGCTCTACATGCTTTTTATCACTGGTTTCCATGCCTTTAAATGAAAAATTCCATAGGATATGCAGCAAAATAATTGTTTAGCAAGAATGCTAAAAGCTGCTCTCAAAATTCTAATATATTGTTAGCGGAAGATAGAAATTGAAATAAAGTCATAGGCTTTATGGTATTATTAAAGTAAAATAGTGATTTCTGACCATTATGTACCATTTTTTTTCCTGTCACTGCTACATATACAATCTTGGAAATCCTTGTAATATAGAATTCATAACATTATAGCAGTAGTACAATTTTCCTAATATAAACTGTGTCAAAAATTCAGAAACAAAGATGGATTTGTGATAATCTCCTCTTCATAGTAGGCTATCTGATCCCAGAAACTGGAAACCTAGAAGGATGGTTTTGGCAATTCCCTTTTTCTCTCATATCTCCTCCCATAGTATATTCTACCTACTATTGGTGGATTGTTTTCTATGTGTGGTTGTCATACTGCATGCTTACTCTTCAGCTGAGGCGATCTGACTAAAATGTTTTGTTTTCCTAGGTGGTTGAAGTTTGAAGAAGATGTTGAAGATGGCGGGGAGAGGTGGAGTAAACCATATGTTGCTACTTTATCACTTCATAGCTTGTTTGAATTGAGAAGTTGTATCCTTAACGGCACAGTCTTACTAGACATGAGAGCAAATTCTTTAGAAGAAATCGCAGGTGAGTTGTTCATTTATTTAATCTTTTAATCTTACCTTACCTACTCAGAAATCTCTCTCATCATGTCAGGGTGCGAAAGCAAACGTTTGAAAAACTTTAAATTAAAGGTTCCAACATTATTGCAAACATTTTTAGCATGTTTTATATATTACATAGCACTGATGTTGCACTTTACATTATTTTCTCTAAGGCAGGGAGCGATTTGTTTTAGATTTAGAGTGATAACAATGAACAGGTAAGTTTGATTTGGATGAGGTTGTCCTTGAAGGAAATATACCATTTACCAGAGTAATAAGGGAATATAATAATAAATAATAATAAGTAATTAGTAATAATAGTAAGGGAATCAGATGGGATGCTGCAGAATGACCCAATTTTGTATTCAGCTACAAAAGCTTTGTTAGTAAGGTCCAAAAGAAACCACAGTAATTGCCATGTTGTTTGTTTGCATGTTAATATCTGTCTGTTGTAAAGAAATAAAATAATAGAACTTTCCAAATTCATGGTGGTAATATTTTAAAATGAAAGACAATTGAAATGTTCAAAAGGAAATGTTTTTATAGGTAACAGTAACAGTGCTGTGAATGCATTCTCTGTATACTCCATAAATTGCTGAAGTAGTATTTAACTGGTTTGAAAAGCTGAAATTTGCACTTTAACACGATCGTTAATTGTTCAATTTTATATTGTGTAATGAAAGAAATATGGGCGAAAGTGAACAGAGTTTTGACAGCCCATGAATAATTATAAGAAGGTGAATTTGTATACTTGGAGAATGCATT